TGAACAAACTTGAATGTACACTACCTGAGTATGATTCCACATGAGTTTCATCTTTCCTGGCCCAGTGGTTCTTGAGAAGGAGATTTTTGAAAAATGCCATTAATTTTTCACTAATTCATAACTACATGTATCTCCCCTTGGAAAAGGGCTTGGCCCTTCATTTGAACAAACTTGAATCCCCTTCACCTAAGGATACTTTGTGGCATGGTTGGTTGAAATTGGCCCAGTAGTTCTTGAGAAGAAGATGAAAATGTGAAAAGTTTAAGCCGAAGCTGCCGCCGACGTCGACGACAACGACATCGATGGACAAATTTTGATCAGAAAAGCTCACTTAAGCCTTCAGCTCAGGTACGTTAGCTAAAAATGTCAAGGAAAGTTTAACTCAGCAGAGTTTTTGAAATCTTTCGGTCCTGTCGGCAAGACCGATAAAAACAACCAAAGACCGATTACTTTGCATTCTGTGTCAGTCCAAATGATTGGTAAATGTTGACAGAGGTACTTGTGAAAATATGACTAAATTTCGTACCAATTCTCTATAACGTCCGATGGTAATCTTTCAAACTCTTTTCTGCAATCTTGTAATGGCTTCTTCGGTGAACACAAGTGTCAAACTATGAATGGTAAACTGATAAAACAGGTTTGTTGACGGTGCTACGGTAAGCCAAGTGAGAAAATCAAACTAGATTAAACCAGAAGTCTCTGTCGAGACTGTAGCTCTACTGGTTTGTACACTGTACTTATAACAAAGGATGAGAAAAGAAGCCATTGCCATCATACCAAAACTGTAAGAAGGAGTAGCGTTTAAAAGGAATTTCACAGACATTTCTATTTTTAGTAACAATGGCAACACTATTCATCGAAATCAAACACCGATGCACTATTTTATGCATATTAGTGTAGTCTACTTGTGTGCCAAGTTATATTGAAATCAGAGCAAAATTGTAGAAGAAGTAGCGTTTTAAAGGAATTTCACAGAAAATTCTATTTTTAGTAACCATGGCAACACCATTCATTGAAATCAAAACCCATGCACTATTTTATGTATCTTAGTGTAGTCTACTTGTGTGCCAAGTGATATTGTAATCTGACCAAACCTGTAGAAGGAATAGCGTTTTAAAAGAATTTCACAGAAAATTCTATCTTTAGTAGCCATGGCAACACCATTCATCGAAATCAAAAATCAATGCACTATTTCATGTATCTTAGTGTAGTCTACTTCTGTGCCAAGTAATACTGAAATCAGATCAAAACTGTAGGAGGAGTAGGGTTTTAAAGGAATTTCACAGGAAATTCTATTTTTAGTAACCATGGCAACACCGTTCATCGAAATCAAAATCCCATGCACAATTTTATGTATCTTAGTGTAGTCTACTTGTGTGCCAAGTAATATTGTAATCTGACCAAAACTGTAGAAGGAATAGCGTTTTAAAGGAATTTCACAGAAAATTCTATCAATTTTATGCATCTTAGTGTAGTCTATTTGTGTGCCAAGTAATATTGTAATCTGACCAAAACTGTAGAAGGAATAGCGTTTTAAAGGAATTTCACAGAAAATTCTATCTTTAGTAACCATGGCAACACCATTCATCGAAATCAAAAACCGATGCACTATTTTATGTATCTTAGTGTAGTCTATTTGAGTGCCAAGTTATATTAAAATCAGACCAAAACTGTAGAAGGAGTAGCATTTTAAAGGAATTTCACAGACAATTCTAATTTTAGTAACCATGGCAACACTGTTCATCAAAATCAAAAACTAATGCACTATTTTATGTATCTTAGTGTAGTCTATTTGTGTGCCATGTAATATTGAAATCAGATCAAAACTGTAGGAGGAGTAGGGTTTTAAAGGAATTCACAGAAAATTCTATTTTTAGTAACCATGGCAACACTGTTCATCAAAATTAAAATACGATGCACTATTTTATGTATCTTAGTGTAGTCTACTTCTGTGCCAAGTTATTTTGAAATCAGACCAAAACTGTAGGAGGAGTAGCCTTTTAAAGGAATTTCACAGAAAATTCTATTTTTAGTAACCATGGCAACACCGTTCATTGAAATCAAAAACCGATGCACTATTTTATGTATCTTAGTGTAGTCTACTTGTATGCCAAGTAATATTAAAATCAGACCAAAACTGTAGGAGGAGTAGCGTTTTGAAAAATTGTTTACAGACAGACGGACAGACAGACAGATGGACGGACTACGGACACCTTACTATCGCATAAGCTCTTCTGGTCTCTGACCAGTAGAGCTAAAAACTATGAAGAAAATAGACCCCCGAGATAATTCAAAGAAAATTGACAATCAAATCAGCATGAAGTGTGCAGTGTTTATTGAAAAATGGTGCACTGTGACAATGTATTGATAATAAAGTCGAACAAAGTTTTCATCCTTTTATTTAATTTTTTGGACTGATAGAAATCTGTCTGGACTGACAAACTTCACATGGCAGGCAGTCCAAATGACTGACAGCAGAAAAAAGATTTCAAGAACTCTGACTCAGTTATATTAAACAATTATTTATTTTGATTTCTAGTCTCTAAGTGTTTAAGACAGAAAACTTGTGGTTTGTTCCCATTTTTTCAAATTTTTTTTTATCAACCTCTGTAAAAAATAATATAACAAATCTAGCCCTTTAATTCGGTCAATCCATAGATATATCGAATTCACAGAAAAGTATATCCACCTCGCACTTCGTGCTCGGATCGATATGCTTTTCTGTGAAGTCGATATACCGTATATCAGGTTTTTTCCGCGGCATGTTTTTTCCGCGAATCAGAGCCAAAATCAGTATATCAAATTTAAACGAATGAAATTTTCACTATTTCAAAGTCCCAGTGATTACATTATTAACAATTGTTTAAGCCTATGAAGGAACTGGATGTAAAAATGTAAGTCTTTAAGCTTTAGTTACTTCATAGGGTGAAAAATAGATCGATTGACCTTCACCTCGTTAATTTCAGAAGACATGCTCAGCTGATTACACAGCTGTGTTGCATACAAACTCTCAAATCCCCAGATATTATTTTTTAAGATTTAAGCAATCATAGGTCATTTACTGTTCCAAACTGACTAGCAGCTCAGGTATAATTAAAATAGGTTCTCGCAAGGAACATGACCAATATAATTAGGTTGTCAATTAGTAAACAAACAATAGGGCTTATACCTATTACCGGTATCTTGCGCTTGTCCTCTGATCCCTCTATTTCTACCCTCTACGATATAAACATGGAGAAATAACTCTACTACAAGAAGAAAACTTTGTATTAAATTTACACTGAATTATTTTCCGCGATTTAGACCTCGTCGTGAAGAAAGCGAAATTGGATGCGCGCGGAAAAAATCTGATATACTGTATCCATGGATCGACCTCATCAAAGGGCTATATTTATATAATAATTGTTTTTATTATTTTTTTATGTTAATAAGAAATGTCCTAAAATCTATGTCTCTAATACTCGGTATTCTCATATAAGGCATTGTTCTGACGTTACAGTAATGAATAGCAGCAGCAGTATCTGTTTTTAGGAACATCCAGTTTATATTGTGACCTCAGCATTATTGTTGCTTCACAGAAGAACATTTTCAATTTTAGAAACAGCAGGTTTATAAATTTTTAAAATAGAAACATCCAGTCTATAACACTTTTCATACTTGATCATGTGATCTAGTTTGAGCCAATCAGATAGGTGGCAACAATAGAGAATAATAATAATAAAAGTGATTTATAAACAAAAAAATATCATATTGCAATACATTTTTCCAGTACTGATATACCGGCAAAGTGCATGGACTTTAGATTTCTTAAGTACCTTGTAAAATATAAATTTTAAGATGTTAGAAACATTTTCAATCATGCCAAACAGTACTAAATGGTAAGGATGTTGTAGTATGGTTGCATTTCATTCAAAAACAGTCGCCCGTGAGGCGCAGTGGTTAGAGCATCTGCTCTAGAGTTGCAATAGGAAGTTGATCCTTGCGTCGCAGGTTTGAATTCCACGGTAGGACATGGAGACAGTTCCTTCAGATGAGACCATATAAACTGAGGTCGCATGTCGCAGTAGGTGCTGGCACAAAAAAGATCTCTACCTGCTCAATGGCAGTAAGTGCCAAGTATAGGACAAAAGTTGCAGCTCTCCACCGGCAAGTGGTGGTGTCTCCAAATGAGTGAAAAATTCTAGAGACGGATGTTAAACAATATACAATCAATCAATCATTCAAAACAGTAGAGAAATCACCAGAAAATTTTTGGCAACAACATTTTTATAATAGTTTTATACATGTTGCTAATGGAGTGTAATAAGATAAGGAAAAGAGCATTTTATCTGTCATCAAAAAAAAATTGCAATACATATTGCAATACAGCTTAAAACATCCCAATATATTGCAATATGAAATTTCCAGCCAATACCCAGCCCTAATAATTAAATGAGTCAGAGCTATTATTTTAAGACATATTCAAGGATTAGTTCAAAGAAAAAAATATTGGAGAAATCATATCTATGGACAGATAGACACGTTGATTCTTTTATACATCTGCTGGAGTATAATAGTTACTTCACAGTATGCAAGGGAAAAAACATCATCTTAACCTTATCTTGGTGGGCATGACATTAACATATTTTTCATACTTAACTTTAAAAGTCTATAAAAAAGGTACTACAAAAGACCTTAAAAGTGTTCGTGTTCCTAGTTGTGTTTTACAATCAGTCTTTCCATGGCTCTTTCTAATTAGATCATAATAAATTCTTTCACTGATTTTTTTTTCTTTTCTTAAACTAGCAAACGCTTATTTACCCAAAGTTTGCTTCTAATTTGGATTTTAATCGATAATTACAAATAGCAAAGAAAATCATTCAGAGGCTTGAAAGCATTACTATCTAATTCCTTAAAATATTGATAAATCTTAACATAACAATTAATTAAATATTAACCTTTCAACCTTACAGATATCCCTTTAAGATCAGTCATTTGCCCTTTTCTATCACTAAATGTACCTCATATTGTAACTTGTTGTTCCAAGTTCAGAACCAAGGCCTGAGAGAGATCCATCAAAGTCTGCAGCCAAGGAATCATTGATGTCCCAGCTGGTTATGGTGGGAACATGGTGAGACATTTTGGAACGTTTGTTTCCCTGGGTGACCACATCATTCAAAGACCACCCAAATGACATTGGTATCTAAATGATGAAACATACTTCATAAGTTATGCAGAGTTGACAGCATTCTAAAGATGACCCCAAAAAATAAAGTTTCTGCAAACTAATTAAAATTAGATCTTTGACCCACTCCAGTTTGATCGCTATACACTAATTTCAATTAGATTGAAGTTTCTGATGCCTATGTGTTTGATCACTCATAGTGGTCCCACCCAACTCCCATTGGTCACGTTTTTGACAAAGAAAAGGGGGGGGGGGGATAAGCTATAATATGCCTACATCATGATAGGTAAGAAATCAATTAACAAATTTCACTTTTTGATAAATTTATGTAATGCTTATTACCATCTGCCTACAAAATTGACAAGACCTGAAACAACTGCTGAAATGGTGAAATTGATTCATGTTTACTCAATAAAAAGGCAAGAATATCAATTTTCAAGGAAACTGACATAAACTGGATGCTTCATCAATTACCTTTTTAAATAAAAGGCAATAAAAAAAGTTTCTTTTTACACTAGCTTTCAAAAATTGGGCACAAAGACCCAATCTACAAATCCTTTGGTCCAACAACTCAGTATTTAATGAAAGGAAGGTTCAACATTAAGTCTTACCAAGTTAAGTTTTTCTATAAATTAAATTTAATTACATATTAAGTATAATATACTTGTATAGTGATTGGTAAACATAGAATATTGGAAGGGGAGAGAGGGGGGGAGGGGGAGAGATGATTAAGTACAAGTTTTTTTTAATGTGAGGGAGGATCCAATTTTGAGAGAAAAAGGCGACAGTTACACCTTTAATAATTCAATTTAAGAGTCTTTGGTATGAAAAAAATCTATGTATTTAAAAGTGAATAAAAGAAAATAAGTTATACATGTTAGTTGTACATTATTAATTGTTCTACGTTGTTAATATTACTAACAAAATAATGGAAACATGCCCTTCAATATCTTGTTATGTTAATCGATTTTAAATTCTCCATGCATTTATATGCAAATTAAAATTTTTCATACTTATATAGAATGTGAAATCACAGACATGCATTTTTGCACTGAATTATATTTCATTTGAAAATACCCCATATTTTTTTTCCCACGAAATAAAGAAATCGAAAAATTATTATGTCCTATTCACACGTTTGAAATGTAAGAAAAACAGTACTAGTTTTATTCATAAACTAATGCTTTAACCATTTAACCATTAAGAAAACGCAATACACTGAAAACCATCCTGAAACGGAATCACATCTATCATTTTCACTCAATCAGTACATGTAGCTCAGGGAGCCGCTTATCAGATGTCGGGGAATCCCTGATGTAATGAATTTCCTCTTTATATATTTCGTATTTCTCTTTATAGATATCGAAGTCTTGTTTATTTTTATATCACATATCTCTTATAATATATCGAGGTTTTGTTTATATATTTCGCATTTCCTTTATCTATATCAAGATTTGTTTATATATATATATATATCACATTTCCTTTATATATATATATATATATATATATCAATTAAGGTTCTGTTTATATATTTCGCATTTCCTTTAAATATTGAGGTTTGGTTTAATAATTGTTTTATCCCTTATATATACAAGTTGGCAATAATGGGCTTCAGAAGTATTGAATCTAGCTATCCTTCAAAAGAGGAGACCGCCCAGACCTGTTTAACCAATCTGTATTTTTTATCCATCTCCCAACCCTTTATAGTCGTGACTTGACTGCAAGTGATAAACTTGCTTGATTAGAATTGGCTGTTGGATTGCTGAAAATTCACCTCATGCAAGTTTATTGCCTGTAGAAACAACTATAAGGGGTTGGGAGATGAATAACATATATAACTGTACCTGGCCATAAGTCTTTCATTAAAATTGCTGCCAAAATATCAAAATTCAGGAAGCCGATTTTTAGCTCTACTGGTCAAAGACCAGAAGAGCTTATGCGATAGTAATGCGTCCAGCATCCATCTGTCTGTCTGTCTGTAAACAATTTTTTAAAATGCTACTCCTCCTACAGTTTTGGACCGATTTCAATATAACTTGGCACACAAGTAGACTATACTAAGATACATAACTTTGTATATTGATTTTTTATAGATGAACGGTGTTGCCATGGTTACTAAAAATAGAAATTTCTGTGAAATTCTTTTAAAATGCTACTCCTCCTACAGTTTTTGTCTGATTTCAATATAACTTGGCACAAAAGTAGACTACACTAAGATACATAATTCTGTGCATCTGTTTTTGATTTCAATGAACGGTGTTGCAGTGGTAACTAAAAATAGAAATTTCTGTGAAATTCTTTTAAAATGCTACTCCTCCTACAGTTTTTGTCTGATTTCAATATAACTTGGCACAAAAGTAGACTACGCTAAGATACATAATTCTGTGCATCGGTTTTTGATTTCAATGAATGGTGTTGCAGTGGTTTAATACTAAAAATAGAAATTTCTGTGAAATTCTTTCCAAATGCTACTCAACCTACAGTTTTGGTCGGATTTCAATATAACTTGGCACACAAGTAGACTTTACTAAGATACATAATTCTGTGCATCGGTTTTTATTTTGATGAGTGGCAAGGATCATTTTTTTATTCATTGCTGTTTTAAATTTTCAAGTCCCAACTGCTACTTCCTCTTCCTTTGTTTTAAGTATAAACCAGTAGAGCTACAGTCTCGACAGAGACTTTTGGTTTTCTTTAGCATTGGTAAATAAATCATTCTATACAAGCTGCTGTTGAATAGATCCTTTCTATAGAGTGTATACAATAATTTAATGACGTCATTTTATAAAAGTTACGTATTATCTGTCAAATATAGAGCAACTGACAAGATGGCTACCAAAGGTAAACAAATACTACCCCTATGATAAATGCGATAATAGCTATGTCTGAGAGTGGATATACAAAACAGGACATTGCAACTATTCTTTCTGTGAGCCAGTCCAGGATTTCTAAGTTTCTTAAGTAATTCAAGACGCGAGGATCCAGTGAAAATAAGCATCGAAGCGGATGACCTAGAAAAACCAATGTACAAGGAGATCGTAAGATACTTTGATGTGTGAAACTCAACAGACGGCAAACTTTGGGTGAAGAACTCGAAGTTACCAAGTTCTATCTCTTCAGGGACGGTAAGAAGATGTTTGCAATTTTTAACTTTACAAGAAGGAAAACCAGGAAGACCCTGACAATTCGGTTTGTTAACCGCACTCGCCGTGTAAATTGGTGTCGAGGGAATTTCATTCGACAGTGAATAATAATTGGAAAAAGGTGATTTTCAGCGATGAAACTCAGGTTGTGATTGACCAGAATAAGCGAGTTTACATCTGGAGAAGACCAGACGAAGTATGGTGACCTGAGTGTCTTGGCGTCCGTGGAAATGGAAGGTACTCGGCAACGCTTTGGGGGTGTATTACTCACAAAGGAGTCTGAACATTTACAGAAGTAGATGAGAATATCAATTCCCAAATATTAATTAACATTATAAATTAATGGCCAGTTATTTTGCGCCATTTCCCGAATGGTGACTATTTATTCCAGGATCAGATAATGCACCGGTTCACTCCTCTAACGCCAACAAATTATGGAAAACTTAAAACAAAATTAAATGTCTTACTTGGCCATCACAATCTCCAGATACCTATGTAATTGAAAACGTGTGGACAACCATAAAAATATGTCTTCAGAGACAGGTACACAATATTCATAATCGTGAAGACCTCATCTTGAAAGTAAAGGAAATATGGCGATCATTACCTCAGCACTACAGTCAGAGCCTGTACGCTTCAATTCCAAGGCGAATTCGACAAGTTATCAAATCTAAGGGTCATGCAACTACGAGGGGTTATCAAAAAGTTCGTGGACTGAGGCTTTAAAATTAGTATACTATGTAGTCTGTGCTTTCAAAATTTATACTGAACATAAAACAACACAAAATAAAGAAATGTTGAAAATTTTAGCCTGATACGTTCATTTTTTGCCAAATTATCATAAAGTAAAAACGACATTATATGATCACCCGGCGCTGTCGTCGTTTATTTTCATGACGTCCGATGAAGTCATTTTTTTTTTCAATGTCCTCTTCTCCTACCTCATACACTTTTTTGATGAGATTCCCTGGAGCTGAGTAAGGACTTCAACCCGCCTTGTTTATATGACTTTACATACAATGTCATGAACAGTGGCCTTCAATGAATGTATAATATTCCAGATGGATTAATATATTGGGAGAAAGCCGCGCATGATTGTGCCGGTGTTAGTGATGGGGAATCGGAAAAAAATTATAATCGATTATCGGTAATAATCGGCTGGGCATAATCGATTAATAATCAATTATAATCGAAATTTTGAACTTCAATAAAATTAATATAGGAAAGTTAAAACTTATTCAGATTTCTGTCAGACTTTTACATACAAAAACATTTACTTACATAAAATATTCAAAAATTTTAGTTGAAATTTCTTTTTTAAAAAGTGGATAATAGTATTTTGTCTACTTTAAACAATATAGGACTATTGAAACAGAATGGGAATTTTTTTTTTTTTTATAAAGTCCATGCAATGGGTATTTTTACTGATATTAGTCCCATCTTTCATTTAATACATGTACATATTTATTTCTTAAAATTAGTTTTGATTAGTTAAAATTGCAAGTTGTAAAAGTAATTATCCTCATGTTAGACTTGTATTTATGATTATAATTACGTTTAAAGATTGACTAGACTAATTATGTTTTCCTTTACTTGCAATATTACCGTTTCCTGGTATTAGTCTAACCCCATATTTAATCATGGCGGTAAAAGTATCAACAAGACACGGGATCCTTTCATGTTTTCAACATTCATTACTACTTTTATGCTCTTTGCACTTAAATTTGGTAATAAAATTAAAGTTTGACAATTTTATTTTTTGTTAGCGATGTCGGCGACATTTATTTTATAATCGATTAGTAGCATCGAAGAGCTTCTAACGACCGACAATCGATTGTCGTCGACAATCGTTCCATCACTAGCCATCAACAA